GAAGTCAAGGTAGACCACATCCACCGCTCTTGTGTGTTCCCTAGAGGAAGAATGCACTCCATGTCTCCTCTTGGGATCTTAGGCCTCATATTTTTCCTATAGATGCCTAGTTTTAGGGTACTTCATTTGAGATTCAGTAATTTTTTTTCTCACATCAGATTCCAGATGTATACCAGAAGACCAGTTGGCACTAGTTCAGTCTGAACTGGTTTAGCTTATTCAGGTGAATGATTTACCTGATTCAAAGGTGACATGACCTGAGAATTAATGGAAACTATATTCTTGAGGGAGCAAAGAAGCCAAAACAAAAAAAAACCAAACACCAGGAAGAAGTCTTTCCTCTTTTTTTTACCTCTAGCCTGTTTTATTTTGTTGTTTCATCAGTTACCTCCAGATAACTGTGGAGTGCTTTGGATGTATGAGCTTTGTAATAGACACAGAAATGGTGACCTGAGAAATACTTACTTTTTCATCCTAAGACATTGTGGTACTGAAAAGAAGTGAGCAAGGAACCTGCCTACTCACATCTGTGATTGCTTTCTTGGCTTTTTCCTCTGCATTCCGGCACTCCTGGATCGATTCCTCCACTTCATTCTGCATCTGGGAAATGTCACCCTCCAGCTTCTTCTTTTGATTGATCAGGCTTGTGTTCTTTTATTAAGTTTTCCCCAAAAGAACAGTGGAATAGGAGGAAAAGTGATGATTAGAGACATAACTTCTCTAAATATCATAGCACACCAAGGCTTACTGATTTTTGCAACTCCTAGATTACATACAGCAATATTTGGGAAGGGAAACCCAGATATGGGCAAGGCCTGACCTTTACTAAGTAGCTTAGCTTCAAACTGAGGAAATATTAAAAATGCTCTCAAAGCTGTGAATAGTCAGGTTTTAGTTTAGATAAATCATAAACAAGAGGCTGAAATAGAAAAACTAATAAATCAGTTCATTTTGGAAAGCTAACAATCTGTAATCAGTTAGTCAATGAGGTGACTAAAAGAGAAGCCCCATGGCATCATGGGCTGGAGGAAACATTGCAAAATACTGCTAGCCTGTAGCAAATTTTCTTTTCCTTCTGAGGATTAATTATTTGGTGAAGAGAAGCTTTGGTTTCGTAGCAAAAATGCTGGCGAGTTGGGACATGCCCCTCCATGGCCTTGTAAAAACTTCAGTGTCCATCGTGATGAAGTCCAAAGGCCTGTCTTAATGGAGAGCACTTTGCTGCAGAGTGGTTTCCCACCCTGCACTAAATACACCTGCTCTTAGAACCCAGCCTCTGCTGTTTTCATTGCTGATTAACATCAGCACCCTGAAGCATGACTTCTCCAAAGAAATGCCTCACCATTCCAGACATGGCTTAAATAAAGCAGGAAACTGGTTTTACAGCACAGAAGAAAGAAAGAAATGAAATTTACTTTTGTTATCTCCCATCATCGGCTTTTCTGGGAACTGTTCAAAGCAATTGGCTGAATCACCAGTTCCAGCTAACTTGAAGGGAGTGAAGTGGCACACCTACAGCGTGTCTTACTTCCTCTCCTCATTTTCTCCCTTGGAGGACAGTAAGGTGTGTCTGACTTACTATGGCCATGGACAAACAGTGTCAGTGCTTAATAGACAAGGCTCAGTTTAACCTAGTGACCACAGAAAAAACCAACCTGAGTGTGAAGCAGGTTCACACGTTCTGTGGCTTCCAGCAGTTCATGCTCTGCCAGCTTTCTTGCCCGTTCGGTCTGGTCCAGCAAAGCCCTGAGCTCATCCAGCTCTGACTGGAGAAGATTGTTCCTCCTGTCAGAGACCGCCAGCTGCTCCTTCAGATCTTCATTCATGTGTCCTGAGTCATCCAGCTGCACCTGAAGCTCCTATAACGAAACAGATGTTTGTCTTTTTTACCAGTGCAACGCCATTTCAAGCCATCGCACTTACTTAAGAGGACCCCAGATTGCAGAGGCTGCATGGGACCCACCTCAGGAATTTCAGTGCTTTATTGGATAAAGGCTTCCTCTACACTCTAAGCTGAACAGCTTTTGTGGTATGTGGTGCAACATGGGGAAAAACCCGTGTGTTCAAATCTGTCAGATCTCATGGTTCTGCCTGCTTAGGTGTGGGAGAGGCGATAGCTTAAGAGGTGTCTTAGCAAAGCACTTTTTATTTTGCTATTATGAATGTTGAAGCAAACAACAAACCTGAATGTACACACACCCCTGTACTCCAGCCAACTGACTTGCTCTTCACTTTTAAAGGACTTGTGAGTTCACCAGAAAATCAGTTTTTCAGTTCTTCATGCTGTAGCTTTTTGCCCCTGCAGGAGGCTGTAGCCAGCAAGGGTTTTATGACTGGATCTCATCCAGCTTGTATGCAAGTCTGGGAGGAAATCCGTGTTTCAATATTCTCTTACATCAGATGTGATCACTAAAAGCTTTCCCTGCACATCCCTGGGAGTAGCTTCTATCTTAAGTCCCATCACCACAGCTGTTTTACTCTGCACTAATGAAACCCAGCCTGCACCTACCATTGGGTGCTTGGAACTGCCAGCTGATGCAGTACCTTTATCTGTGCCTGCAAGACACGTGCTGACTTTGTTGCTTCTGCAGCGTGCCTGTTAGCATGGCTAAGCTGGATTTCCATCTCATTGAGGTCCCCTTCCATCTTCTTCTTCAGCCGGATGGCCTCATTTCTGCTCCGTGCTTCAGAGTCAAGGGTAGACTGCAGGGAATCTATGGCACGTTGCTGGTTTCTCCTGAAAAAGCCATGAGGGGTAAATAGAGTAGTTTTCATCTCTGCACAGGAACTTAGAGCTACACACACAGCACTTCATTTTATGAAAGTGTCTCATTTCTAGAAATAGTATATTTCTGAATGATATACATAGCACAGATTTCTCCTGCTTCACTGCCATCTAACTGACTGGTGTGCTTCACACCCTCAGCTAACTCCTGATCTGTAAGCACCTATAGGATCCTTCTCCCTGGTTTCCTTTGGCAATATTGCAGCAAGGGGTTCTCTCAGATCTCTTGTAAACTCAAGCGAGTACAGATTTGAACTTAACAGGAGGCACTTCAAGCTTAGCAGCCACTCACCAAGATAGTTACTGAATCATTTAATGAAATGAAGGTATTAGTGAAGGAGATTAAACAAACTTAAGGTAGGCAGCTACATTCTAAGTTCATTACTTTAGGTGCTATTTACAGTAATGTCATGTGTAAGCTACAATTTATTGTGTCTTAAAGTTGATATTTATTCTTATGCTAATTTTAAGAGGAATAATTCAGGAATAAAAATCTGGGTAATGGACATCTAAAGTTAGAAGATACTACGCCCACCCAATTAACAGCCTGCCCCCACTGAGAAAGGCAACTTAGTGTCTAGTCAAAGATCGCAAAACAGATAGATGCTTAGTTTTCTTAACAGTCAAGTCCTACGATTAAAGTTTTGCTCTCCTACAACCAGAAAGTACAACTCAAAGCACAGAATATGACTCACACAGGGAAACACTTCTTTTGCTGCTGGCCAAGTTTTGCTGAAAGCGTAGGAGTTCTGGGAAATGACCAAGTCAACAGGGAAAACCTTGAGGGCTTGACTGCTTCAGCAAGGTATTAGCTGTTCCCTAGACTCCCAGGGAACAACACAGCATGTCTGCTGAACAACTTATAAGCGTAACGCTCATAATGAAGCTGGACATCAGAATATAGTATCTGAAAGGGCTGAAACATTCTTGGTTCTGAAGCAATTACCATATAAATCGTTGTATCTATGCTGGCCAAGGTGAGCCTTGGACTTTCCCTTCCCTCCCCTTTAGCCTACCAACAAACATGGTTCCTGGATTAATAGCATTGCAAGACTAATTCAGGGTCAGAGTTTTCTGAACGACTGCACACACACATTGCTGAAAATTTGTCCCAGCATAGCATCATTTTAAGACTCTTCAGACTAGCATTTGTGCTCGGTGGGAAGGGAGAGACAAAAGACATTGTCCTCCTCTCATTTAATTGCTTTCCATTTTTCCCGTTTATCTCTTCATCTGCAAACTCCTCTCCTTTTATATTCATACTTTCTGTACTTCTGCAATTCTCACTGCTTAACCAAACGGCGTACACATAATAGCAAGCTCCTCACATCCTACCACAGTCAGTGTAGTTATAATTGCATAAATTAAATAAATGCTTTCAAATAACATAGGTTTGAGAACCACTGAGGTAGTACTACTGATTATGGCTGTGGTTCCTGTTGGGAGGCAGCCATCCTGGAGGCTTAGAAGGCAGGTCTCTAGACATACTTGTCATACTGTAGACATACAGACTTAGTAGCCCTTGGTCTGCTGTGGCTTTGGTTGCATCAGTCGGTTGCGTTACGGCTGCTATGTGATACGTATGACAAGTGTATGTGTATGCTGGCAGACACTGAACTGACAGGAATATTCAAACTAAGAAATGGTAATATGGTAAGATTACCCTTTGGCAAATACCAGAGCTGTCTTTGTTTCTGGTACAGACAGTATCTGCTTGTGCTGGCATAACTACCTGTGGTGCATTTTACTGGCTTGGGTCTTGAGAATATTTCCCCTCTTTTGAGACTTTCACCTTCAAAAACATGCTGCTTCCTGTACAGTACCTTATATTTTCCATTTCTTCCTCCTTTTCTGTCAGTTTCCTTTCAAACTCAGCTTTAAGCTGAGAAAGTTCAAGCTGGAAACGAAGGGTCTTACTTTCTTCATGCTCCAAAGCTCCCTGAAATAGAAAACACCAAGAGCTTGTAGGCCAGGGTTGTTATGTTTTAGTTTTCTTTATTAAGTCACAAACTGCTGCACAAAGATGATCCCTTCATGCTTTTCTTCCTGTTCCAAATAGTACTGTTTCCTCCCTGCATCTCTCTCTAGGCAAGTACATGAGCGGCTTACATGGCAAAACAATGCATTTATTTGCCTTCTAATGCAACTTGGCAGCTGGAAAACTGAGCAGCAAGCTCCTCAGAGGATGAATTTTCAAGCAGTCCACAGCTCAGAAAAAAATACCTTAGGCCATGCCTGTACGCTTTTGATATCTACAGATGTTCCCCACTCCTCACCCCTATACAGAAACCCTCCAGAAATTCACAGGCTTGTAAAGGATAGGCAAAAGCTAAACCAGGATTGCTGTTGGGAAGTGAAGGAGTCTACACATCCCCCAGCTCACAAAGATCTCTTCAAATCATGAAGTGCTGAAAGCCTCTCTATTGTACAATCTTACTAGGCAATATGACTTCAAGGAAAGTAATAACAGACATCAGCTATATATGAGAAGATGCAAAAATACTCTGTCTGCTCTTTCCAATTAATGTGAAGACAAGTCTACGAAACAAGGGAGATGTGTTCCTATGTCTTTGTTCTTACATTTCTCTCATATCTGGAAGTCAAGAACTAAGCAGACAACAACCCATAGTGAAATAACAGGGCCTCTGACATCCAGGTCTTTTATAAACCAGGCTCAGTGGCATTCTCTCTCCTTGCTGCTTGCATCAAACAGGGAAGGAAAGCACAGAACTCAACACCACATATTTTGGAAGGGCTTTCTGAAGGGTAGAATTGCACAGGCTTAGCTATGCCACCCTTGAGAGGTGATGGAAACAGAATAGAGGTTCTGAAGAAAAAGCTGTACAAAATCCTTGCTAATCTCTGGCCATCATGCAGCAGCTACAGGTCAGTTGAACGCACACTTCTTGCCAAGGAGCTACAATGTATTAATGGGAACAGCAGGCAAAAGTACCACGTCATCAGTGGTGACTGCCAGACACCCAAATTCACAAGAGAGGGAGGAAATCTGCATGAAACCTTTTCTTTCACAATTAAGATAAGATACATCACCACTTTACTTTCATTAGTTTCTAATACCACTGAGCTTTAGGAAGCCATTCCACACAGTTCAGGAAAGTAAAGTGTGCCTTTTAGATCTCTTAAGAACTGATGTATTCTTTCTAGCAAGAGAAGCTTATTGACAGAGCATATAATCACTCTTCACGTCTCAGAGCTGTGGAAGAAAGGGATGCTCTTTCCTCTGCTCTGATCATGACACCTGTTTGTTTGGCTGGGAAATCCCTGCGAAGTATAAGGCATCCTATAACAGACAAAAGAAGTTGCACAGCATTTAATGTGTTAATGGATCCCTGTCACTGAGTGATGAACATTCTAGCAGATACTATTTAGAGCACAATTCAAAAGAAATGTAGCAGTCACTAAAAATCCCTTGCCATGTGCTGTGTTGCTTCTAGCTAGCGACACCTAGACATCTTCCTAGCTCTGCAATGCACTGAACTTTTAAAAAACCTGTCAACAGAGCCCTTCAAATGAATTACCAGGATTTCCAGTTGGCTTGTTCTGTATTGTCGGTTTGTTTCTGAAAACTGGAATGAAGCATCCTTCTTGGGTACGTACATAATTGTTACTGTGGAAATTAATGCAGTGATGCTAGATGCCTTTACCAAACTCCTACTGAGAGTCAGGATTTCCTAATCAGCCTGTTTTGGTTTCTGAGACTGCTACCATTTTTTTTTTAAGCCAGCTGCAGTATCCAACATAATATGAGACCATATAAAATCTAAAGTAATCAGGAAGTTTGTTTTCTTCCTCTCAAAAACAGGAAATGGTGAATTTGCTGTTGGAAACTAGACACTAGAAATATCTAATAAAATAGTATAAGACTATAATTCTCAGCAGTTCCTGCTTCCTGAAAGACTGAAATATTCCATGTTGAAGTGAGCAAGGACTGGATTTTCAGGAGGTAGACAGAAGATTTCTGAGCTTCCCAAAAGGGGAAAAAAACCCCAAATCAACAACAGAAAAACAAAACCTACAAGGCACCTCCTTTGAAAGGGCCTCCACTGATGATCTTAGAGCTGACATCTCCAAAAGTCACTCTTGAAGACACTGGCTATCAAGCCCAGAGAAGTTGGGTGCACAGAGGTTGCACTTGCTAACAATCAACACATTGGCTGTGTTGCTGAGAGGATGAAAAAGGAAGGAAAATGGTGATAAAGACACACTTTCCTCTTCTTTGAGCTTTCATTCCTTACCTCTGCTTCCTCCAGAGCCAGCTGAACTTCTGACTTCTCTTGTTCAACCTGTTTTTTGATTTTTTCTATTTCATGGAGGCTCTTGTTTCCTTCACTGATCTGGTTGGTCAGATCAGAAATCTCCTCTGAAACAAAAAGGAAGGATGGATTTAGCAATCAGAGTGTCCCAAACATACTGCAGTTCACAGAACATGACTACAGGACCCCTGCTACTACCTCAAGGGCTCGTCTGCACGCAAGCGCTGCCTTACTTTAAATTACAGCAACCTTTTTACCCGAGCAACCTGAAGGCACAGACATTCTTGTAAATGCTTTTTGAAATGGTTATAGTGGTTTAGTTTTTTTATCTGTGATCTGCAGGCTAGCAATGCTGTGCTCTGCTTTGGGAGCTGTTTAGGCTTCATTCGCTGCACCTCTGTCATCTTTCTTGTTCCTCCCCTGAGACTGGTATCTCTGCCCATGAACTTCATTGACAGGTGAGCAAAGGGAAGCCTGCTTTCCTCTGGCCATACCAATTTTTATGTTTTAAGCCTTCATTTCCAGCATCAATCAGCATCTCCAAACACATCAGAAAGCTAGTCTCTGGGATGAGAGAAATTTCTTTTGTGGCCTTTCCCTCCAGCAGTTACAGGGCACCTACATCCCTCCAGCTGTCCACTGGGCTGTGGCTTTCACACTGGACATGGGTCCTCAATGAAGCCTACCCTGGAGGTTCTTGTTTTCCCTTTTCAGTGTCTCCAGGTGGTCCAGTGTTTCCTCATAGGCATTCTTCAGCTTGAAGAGCTCAGTGCTGAGGCCACGAGCCTCCTTCTGGGAAGCTTCCAGCTCAGCCTGTGACTCTTCATACTTCTGCTTCCAGTCATTGATGATCTTGTCAAACCCACGCTGCTTCTTGTCCAGGGAGGCAGCTGCCGAGTTGGCCTTCTCCAGGTCAATCATCATGTCTTCCAGTTCGTTCTGCAGCCTGTGCTTTGTCTTTTCCAGAGAAGAGCACTTGGCATTGGCTGCCTCGATTGCTTCCTCAGCTTCTTGTAAGCGAGCGGCCAGTTTCTTCCTACCAGGTGGGAAGAGACAGTGAAATGACCGAGTGCTACCACTGCCATATTATCCAGAAAGACTGACACCAAAGCAGTATATCAATAAATCAGTTTGGAAAGAGAAAAAGGAGGGGCTGGGGACAAGAGAAAGGGAGGGGGAAATCAAGCCTCTAGAGAGAAGGGATTATAATAGGCAAAAAACCATCTTAAATTATGAATGCTGACATGTGGCAGATAATTTTGTGCATGTGTGTGAATATTTGAGCTTTTGAAATCTCAGGCAGCAGCTTGCTACTTGCTAGCCGTAACCTGTATGGGCTGGTTGTAAATTTTTATAAGACCTGGTCTAAATGAAAGTGTCGTGTTCCTCCAATTAAGAGATATGAGACAGAACCACCAATTAGGAGGTTGGTCATGTCTTGGGCTTTTGATCATAGTCTATTTAGATTGGGAAAACAGAGGACTTGGAGTCCTGGCAAGAAGAGGTTCTGGAAAG